CTCCACCCTGCCCACACCACTTCCAGTGTCCAACACGCTGCCCACACCAGTCCCAGTCTCCAACACCCTGTCCATCTGACTCCCAGTGTCCTACACCCTATCCACACCAGTCCCAGTATCCTTTATCACACCCACACCATTGTCAGTGTCCTGTACCCCGCCCACCCCAGTCCCTGTGTTCTACATGTCACACACCAGTCATTGTTCCAGTGTAGTATATATTTATGCTGTCCAGTTTGTTGTAGGCAATGTTTATTCAAGAAAAACTTGCATGGAACCCAGGAGAGAGAAGCAGGGCTGAATATGCTGGTCTGTCTCTTGACAGCTGTGCTGGGACGATGAATTATACATGGTGGGAGCGCCCTGTGACTGGGGTGGCTGACATTAAATGTAAATGGCAAATGTGACATAGAGCAGTTATGATGTATTAAAAAGCACACGGCTGAACTAATATGAGCTAAATGTATAAAGCGATTCCACAGCCTCATCGCTCTCCGCTGTTGAAATAGTAGCACTGGAATGCATGCACTCACATCCGTCACAGCCACGGCAGTGTAGCACAGGTCCAGCTGTGCGGTCCGGGGGGGGAGGGTCCGGCTCGGCGGTTAACGTAGCAATCTGGGCTACGCCACGTTACGCTCTGCGAGCATATTTAGAGGACTGCCAGAGCTTTCGAGTGAAGAGGAGGTGGGGGGGACCAGGTTCATCTGCATGGCAGCGTGCATTAGCGTCGCAGCACGTTTTAGCGCTAAAACACCCTGCGGGAGCACCGCCCAAGCACAGCTCAGCAGCCTGCAGAGGAGTGCTGCAGCGCGTTAACGCAGCAACGCCGTGCAGCGCTGCACGCGCTAATGAACATCTGCCCCCGTGTTGCCCTGGGCGACACGCTACGGAGTACAGATTACTCTTTCTGGAGTGCACTCATTTAGTCTATATTGTCTTTTTTATGTATCTCCATTAATATTAAATTCACGTCTTTATTTGGAACATAGTAACAGCTTGTTTATTGTGATTTTTTTTAAATGCTAGATGGTCTGAAAAACATCGGGGTGCTTATGCTGTGGGATTTTTAGGAAGCGTTTGCAGCAAAGTGATACGTCTATTCCTCCCAGGACATTAATTAAGCGTGTAATCAAATTAAAATACTAATTTATTATTTCGGCTACGATACGGTGCCAGTTTACCTCATCCCTGTTGCTCGCTAAAGCCCTTCATGTTGTTGAAAGTGCAGTCTTTGGTCTGCATCATTAGTACTTGAGTATTCGAATGCACCTCCGGACCCAGTGAGTGACTGTAGGCAGTTTTACAGCCAATAATAGTACCCAAGGAGCTCTCATGTTCGGCCTCAGTCCACCTTCCTGCTAACTTTTGCATCCTGTCTCAGTTTCTGTAACATTCAGGGCTACATCTTGCTGCACTTTATGCCTACTTCCTGTTAACGTGCAGTCCTACTTCCTCTTTACATGCAGTCCTACTTCCTGTTTACGTACAGTCCTACTTCCTGTTTACGTGCAGTCCTACTTCCTCTTTACATGCAGTCCTACTTCCTGTTTACATGCAGTCCTACTTCCTGTTAACGTGCAGTCCTACTTCCTGTCATGTTCAGACCTAGACTATGACTGTGTCTTTGAATGCTGACTTAGAAGTATGCTGCCCTTGAATTTGTACATGGTCTATATGGTCAAAAGTATGTGAATAACCCAATCATGTAGGTGAATGGCCTAATTGATCCACATCCATTGCTCACATAGGTGTATAATTAAACACGCAGTCACCCAATCTCCTGCAACAAACATTAGCAGCAGAATGGATGATTATACAGAAGAGGTTAGTGATTTTCCACTTGGTACTGTCATCGGATGGCTTCTTTCCAGTAAGTCAGTTCACCACACTGCTGCCCTGCTAGAGCCTCCCTGGCCAACCAAGTGAAGTGATTGTGAGGAAATGTCTGGGAGCAAGTTCAGGTGTGGGTTGGTAGGTCAGGCCAGCTCACTGAAAGGGAGCCGATCACCCAACATCAATGCCCAGCCTGAATGGCAAGGAATCCTACTAGCCATCTTCCAACATCTAATTGAAAGCCTTGCCAGAAGAGCAGAGGCTATGATAGGAAATATTAATATTAAATATTAATAAATAATGATACATGTTAATTCATATTAATAGGCATGGATTCAGACTGAGATACGGGGCGACTTGGTGTCCACATACTTTTGGCCATAAAGTGTATGTCCTTCTAGTACTTGCTGGTATGTTCTGATCATGCTCCCCCTTACTTCCCGCTCACGTTCTGATCTATTTCCTGCATGCTGTTCACCCTCCGGCTTACGGCTTCGCTCCGTGAGACCCCGGGCCCCCGACAGCCCGTTACTCAGAGACACAGGAAGCGCCTGAGAGCTGGAACTCAGGCTGCGTCTTTGTGTTCATCTTCCACCCGCTTCAGCTTCCCGCAGACCCAGTGTGAAAGTCTATTGAAGCCGCGTTCAAAACATTACGCCACCACGTTTTTCTGTGTAACCCACTCTCTGGCTTGGAGGTCGGTTTTGCCGGTACATGCCGGGCTTCTGGGCACGGTGCCTTGGGTCCGGCTCACTGCGGGCCCGCTCTTTCCCCGCACCGGTGTCGGACGGCCACTCGAAGCACCACTGGCTGCCAGAATCGATAATTTTCTCCTTGGCTGGCGCACAAAACCCTCGCAAAGTTTAATCACAAATTCAGTAGAGGAAACAAGGCCTGCTGGTGTGTGTCAGTGCTGGGGGCAGCGTGTGCGTGCGCCCACCTGCGCGCGCGCGCGCGCGCGTGTGTGTGTGTGTGTCCCCTTAAAGGCCTTTGGTGACATGTTTACAGCATTGAGCTGCTTAAATCCTGGACGGCCCCAGAAGCACGGATGTGGCAGCCAGAGGCAGCCCCTCGCCTCAGGGTGCCCCCCCCATCCAAGCAGGAAATGCCCCATCCTCAGGCCAGTGTTGTTTATCAGCACCCGAGGCTAATGTATAGGTTTGTCGTACTGAGCTGGGTGTGGTGTGAGCAGCGATGATGACATCACCACCCCGGAGGCCCTTTCTGCCCCCTGCGCTGCCGCTAAGCTGTAGTATTTTATGCGACCTGCGCAGCATAATTATTAATCTTTATTGAGTCTTAGCGGGAGATTAAAGCGCCATTACCCTGCCATCGTCATGCCCCCCATCTCCCTCCCCCCCGCCCCCAGCTGTTGCCATTGTTTACGGCCACCAGGTTTTATGATGAGCATTTGAGTCACCTCCACAATTAGGCTGGATGAAATATTGCGTGCAGCGGCCTGTCGAGGCCACAGGATGCCACACGATGGTCCTGAGTGGCTCAGCGGGCTGAGTCTCCGTGCCCGTGATTGGATGATCGCTCCGGCCTCGGCAGAGCAGCCGGGTGTCCGTGGGCCGCTGAGCAAGGCCCTTGTTTTATTATTTGCATGTACAGTCTCCTTCAGCTGCAGGTTTTTGCTTTCTGGGAGCATTTTGGGGCGAAGCACCCAGCTATGGAGAAAAAAAAAAGGGGGGGGGCAGCCCATAGGGCACTCCAGACAGTCGTGGGGCTCTTCAAAGCAAGATGCTATCTGACCGAGGGTTAATGGAAACGGGAATCATCGTGTCGTGTACTGGACTCGGCAGATGCGGCTGGTAGCTGGAGTGGTGTGCATAGGGATGGAGGGAAGGGGGGTCAGCCAGCTAGTTAGCTACGCTCTCAAGCCTGTGCCTGTCCTTATGATGCAGTGGTAAGACCAGAGTGAGTTTATCACGGCGGCACAGTTGAATAAACAAGCCTCTCGCAACCGAACAAATTAGCTACATGTTCCCCGTGTCGGCCGGACCGCTGGGCCTCTTATAAGGCCAAACAAAAGCAGTAGCCCCAGGTGCAAAGGCTCAAGGAGATTAAGAGCAGGAGAGGCCCGTGGAAACGGAGAGAAACACACGGAAGCTGCCGGAAACATGGCCTGTGACTTGTTTGGGGGGGATCCCTGCCGGTCACCCAGACTCTGTAATGAAGCGTAGCTCTGAAGTGAGCTGTGAGTGTTTTTTCCGCCGTGTCCTCAGGCGCTGCTGTGAATGGCAGGTCATGTGCCCCTTGTCGTTCCCTGTCTTCTGTTATCATGCCACACTGGACTGACTCTGAATACTGACAGTCTGGCTCTCTGCCAATTACAGGATCTTGACCCTTGAATCTTAAAACTCGCAGCTTCTGAAAGACTGAAATACTCAGAGAGGAAAGGGTTCACTCATGCACATGCTTTGTTCCGAGTATCTCTGGGTCAGAACTCAGACCCTATACCCCTCCAAAGTCTATTCTATTTTTAAACATGTCTGAGCTGCCCACCAGACCTCGCGGCCTCTCATTTGCAAGTGCAGTTCTCAGCTAATTACACTTGACATACACACAGCTGAGCGGACCTGGGGTGGATTTGTATTGTTTCTTTGTGTATACTCTTTTTGGCCGTGTGTGCATGTGCATCTGTGTCTGTGTGCGGCTGTGTGTGTCCACGTCTCCATGTGTGGCCGTGCGTGTCTGCGTCTTTCCTTGTGCGTGTGTGTGTTCTTGTCTTTCCATGTGCGACTGTGTGTGTCGTTCTGTACCTGTGTTCTGCCTGTGTCAGTGTTTCCTATGTGTTTCGCCTGTGTTCCACCTGTGTGTGTTTTCCGTATGTGTTTTGTCTATGTATGTGTTTTGTCTGTGTTTTGTCTTTGTCTATGCTTTGTCTATCTGCTGTCAACCCTGCTGCTGTTTGACTGCCGTTCCCAAATGCACCGTATTGACTGGAAATTTTGTCATGGTCCAGTATTCAGTACACTTTTTCTACTATAAATATGTATAAATGTATGATTTTTTTTAAACGTTTCAGTGGGAGTAACGATAGAGTTATGTGTTCTAGTGTTAGACCGTCATGTCATTACTATGTTAATTCAGTATTGACATCTCTCTCCCTCTCTCCCTTCCTCTTTCTCTCTCTGTCTCTCTCTCTTTCTCTCTGGAAGGTTGTGGAGACTAACCTCGTGGCGTTTGACTGTCACTGGATCATCATCAATGAGGTGAGCTAGGGGTTCTGTGCCATAGAAATGGTGGGAACGTTTCATCAACATTGCTGTAGTAGGTTTCCCCCTACAGTCCAAACCATGTGAAATGCTCACTCTAAATTGCCCATTGTATGTGCCCTGGGATGGGCCGCCGCCCCTTTTGTGGAGAACCCCGTGATCGGCCGACTCCCCTTTTGTGGAGAACCCTGTTATCGGTCAACGCCCCTTTTGTGGAGAACCCTGTGATGGGCCGATGCCTCTTTTGTGGAGAACCCCACGATGGGCCAATGCCCCTTTCGTGGAGAACCCCGTGATGGGCTGACACCCCATTTGGGGAGTGCCTTGCGATCGGCTGACGCCCCTTTTGTGGATTGCCCCGCGACGGGCCGACGTCCGGTTTGGGAAGTGCCCCGGGACAGGCCGGCATTCTGTTTGTGGAGTGGCCCACGACGGGCCGGCATCCCATTTGGGGAGTGGCCCACGACGGGCCGGCATCCCATTTGGGGAGTGGCCCGGGACGGGCCGACGTCCGGTTTGGGGAGTGGCCCACGACGGGCCGACGTCCGGTTTGGGGAGTGGCCCGCGACGGGCCGACGTCCGGTTTGGGGAGTGGCCCGGGAGAGGCCGACGTCCGGTTTGGGGAGTGGCCTGCGACGGGCCGACGTCCCATTTGGTAAGTGTCCCCTTGATGAGCCAACACCCTTTTTGTGGAGTGTCCCGCAGTGAGCTGACGTCACGTTTGGCGAGTGCCCCGCGATTGGCCAGCATCCCATTGAGAGTGTGCCCTGTGCCTTGTTGGAAGATGGATGGATGGAACCCAAATATATAACGATCATTTCAATACATTCAGTATGTCACTTCTCAGCCAGAGAAGAAGAGGCTGCACCATTTCTTTTTACCCTTTTCACAGAAATGACATTAATACTCTTTGCAGAAAGAAATATGCATTTCAATGGCAAAGGACGTTTGTGTAACTGATGCTCATTCATGGTACAGAGGATATTTGTAATTGATGAACATTTCAATTGTAATGACTAATTTAATTTGATGCACAATAGTAAAGAGTATTTCTGACTGAAAATTACAAAGGTAGAATGTAATTGATGTACAGTATATTCCAGTGGTAAAAAGCAGTACAGTAAAACCTCGGACTGCGAGCATAATTCGTTCATAATCCAAAGCACTCGTGTATCAAAGCGAATTTTCCCATTAGAAATAATGGAAACTCAGATGATTCGCTCCACAACCCAAAAATATTCATATAAAAATGTTTAATACAAAATATAAAGTAAAAATACATAAAAGAAATTAACCTGCACTTTACCTTTGAAAAGAATCATGGATGGTGTGAGGGAGACGAGAGAGGAGAAGAGGAGGGTTATTTTGTAGGACGACTTTCACTGTAACTAACGGAATCACTGCTATCTGTTGGCTCACTGGAATCTTTTTCTTTTTGTGCGACTTTAACAAGGAACCCATCCAATGACAGCCACTTTTGCCTCCTTTTCGATTTCGCGGAAATGAGGACATTGCATTGCCGTTAAACGGATACATCGCTCGCACTGCTACGCCCGTATTCGGATAGCTCTTTACTACTAAATTTTGACTATACGAGTGAGGCACGCTGACTGAGACCGAGCATGAGAGGCGATTACCCACAATCCCACAGCGAGAGAGAGAGAGAACCATTAGCTCAGTTGTGATCACGTGACGCTCGGCAGACAGCGTATACGTAATACTCGTATTGCAAGACCTCGCTCATTTATCAAGTTCAAATTTATTTTAAAATTTTGCTCGTCTTGCAAAACACTCGCAATCCAAGGTTTTACTGTATTTGTAATTGATGCACTTTACAGTGTTAAAGACAATATTTGTAATAGATGCACTTTACATTGTTAAAGACAGTATTTGTAATAGATGTACATTACATAGTATATAAGTTGTGTTGGTCCTCCTGTGAGAGAACGTGGGGAAACTTTGTGTCAGCTCGGCACTTCCAGTGTTACTCTCTCTGCTTTAACAGTAGTGTTATGGAGTGCTGGGGGTAGGGGTTGGATTTTCTTGGGGGGGGGGGATGTGAGGACAAAGACCAGCCCTGTAACTCAAATTGTCCCTGGCAAGATGTAGCAAAAATAATTCTGCCCGTAAAGCATTAAGGAGATCTCAGAGCAGGGCTCCTGTATGCGTGAAAGAGTGCCCTCTGCCCCCCACACCCCACAGCGCCCCCACCACGTTTGCTGTCCGCGGCCATGTCTTCACAGACAGGCCATCCCGGTGAGGCCCCGCTCACGCCATCCTGAAATAGCTGTGACTCGGCCTGGAAGCCGATTCGCACACTGGGAGTTTCTGAGGGGAAGGAAACTCTGCCAGTTCACAGTGAAGCGGCACATTTACGCAACAAGCCCAAACGTCATGGACTCACTACCCAAAGTTTTCCTAAAGTCAGGAGCAGAATTTACCGCACGTCTGTAGTGAAACGGACCGAAGCACATTAAAGAGGACAGCTGCCGGTCCCGAACATGGGGGCTCCCTGTCTGCTTAACGCTGTCATGCCTCCCAGCCCCTCGGGGATTGTGGGTAATGTAGAGGCAGCAGAAAAAGGTTTCAGATTTGTTGCCAAGAAGGCTGGCTTTGGTACTTCTGAGTGCAAACTGCTTCTCTTGGCTTTTCAGAGAGAAGAGTGTAAGACATAAAATTCGGGTGTCGCAGAGAAACTCACGGTGCCACAGGAAACGGGCATTTGGTGAAAGCTGACTGTTGGCAGCGAGCTACATGTGGGTGCTTCCTGACACCAAGGGACCCCTGTGGTTCGTGCACATCTGGCTGGCCTTCTGCTGGCTCCGCCCCCGTGTCACCGTCAAAGGAGTCTCCCTGCGCGTATCTAGTCTGGCTCGTAGACACAGCAACATGGGTGTGCTTGTTCTCAGTGTCCTGACGCTCTGTACGAGCTGTGTGGTCGAACATCCGAGCATGGAGGGTTGGACATTGAAGCAACTGGAGACTGATTGATGGTTGAAATGAACTTGTGTGAATGTTTTCTCTACCCCGGGATGAGTGCTCTGCTCCTTTTGTGTGTGATGGTTGAGGGGGTTAATCTGGCCATATCTAGAAATTTCAGTTAACCGATGCTAGACTTGTCGTTCTGCCATTGCTTTCTGGACATTTCCCTCAGTTCTGGCCTCTCTGTCACTCCTGCAGGAGATCTCCGACCTGGACCTGCAGGAGCTGGTGATGAAGTCCATCGGCCGGCTCACACTGGTCAGACAGACCTTCCCACAGCCGCAGAACACCAGCCAGCGCTGCGTGCGCAACAACCACCGCATCAACACATCACTGTGCGACCCCAAGGACCCCAAGGCGCAGACACTGGAGGTGAGGCAAGACTGCAGAGAATGAACAATCAAACCTTTACCTTGGACGAGGGTACCCTCTAAGAACCATGAGGGAATGGCACACAGTAATGGATAATAATGAGGATCTTTGAATTTTCAGATTGGCTGTCTGTCACTCCCTTCTTCTGGGGTGACATTTGCATTTCTCCGTTCTCTGTTTCCGATCAGACTTCCTTGTTCTGTTTCTTTATTCGCTCTGAAGTCGCTGCACTCGTTGCGGCTCGGCGACGCGGCAGACGTCTTTCAGCTTTCGCGCTTTGCAGTGTGACACATCCAATTACGTTGGTAATTAAGTGTAATTAGATTACTTCTGCAAATTAGGAATGCATGAAACGCTGGGGGGTCGTGGAAACGGGAATCGGAGTTGCTGTTATATAAATTGTCATTTCAGCTTCATCTTTAGCTTATTATTCTTCCAATTTCTTTTGTGCTGAAATTGTTTGATGAACATGTTGTTGCAGTAAAACATCCTAAGCCATAGAGGGCGCTGCTACATTTCCTGCAGGCATTAGCTGGTGTGGAAGTTAAATAAGAGAGAAAGCTTTGATCCACCGTGCCAACAGGGAGAATGTTTCTGTTTTGATCACTCCTGTTTGGCAGCACTGTACTACTTTTTCTAAACTGTATTTTTCCAGCATAGTGATATTTGGGAGTGATCAAGTGGTCTGGCAGGCAGAATGTCAGCTCAGTGGGGTGCTGGGGACAGCTGAGTTAGTGGCGTGGAGGCAGAGAACTGGTCAGTTTGGCTCACTTTCCAGGGCCCAATTTCACACAACGATGGAGCGCAATTCCATGACAACCATCAGCAACCATCCCCACAGGCACAAATGGTCCCCACAACATCAAAATAACAGGTTTTTATTACATTGTGGGGAACATTTGGTCCCCACAAGGTAATATAAACATAAGCCACACACACACACACGGTCCATGTACTCATATGTTTGTGAGGACCCTCCATGCATTTTTATAAGAAAAACCCTGTTCCCAAACATGGCAACCTTAACCCCTACCCAGCCCTAACCTTAACCATAAGTAACCAAACAAAATACAAGACTTCTGGCATTTTTACCTTTTTGATTGCAGTCACAGATTTTAATAAAATGTCCCCACAATTTAAAAAGTTCCAGGTTTTTATCACACTATGGGGAAATCTGGTCCCCACAACGTAATAATTACAAAAACATACATACACACACTCTCAATTGTTCTCACGAGTCCCAGCAACACACACAAACACTCCTGACTGTACTGATGAGACACACACACATACACACTTGACTGCACTGACTGACTGTATATCCCTGCACTGATGGCTCTGCTTGAGATCAGCTGGCCACGTTACCATAGAATTGTCCTGTTTGTTACCCAGCATCCCACCCTGCCCTCCTGCCCCCCTGTAAACAGCGCCCCACAGGGTCGTAACCAGTGCCAGGTGGGCCCACTCGGACAGCTGGCGGTCGTTTTGTTCCACACGGCACTCCGCTGAGCACTCAGGCCTGCGTGGGGCAGCCTAATGATGGCAGCTCAGTGTATATTAGTGATCTGAGTGTATCTGCTGAAAGCCTGTAGGTCTAATAAAATCCCCACTATCCACAGAAACTGCTCCTCACGTCCCTCCTCCTTTGGCTTCACTGCTGGGAAATGTATATAAATAAACAAACAGATATGAGAGCCACGCTTCCCTTTGCACGGTCTGGCCCCTGTATGCAGAGTGCGCTCGACAGCGAGGCAGTTCCTGTTTGTGTGTCTGTGTGTTTCTTTCGGTAATAAAGTGCCCCAGGCTCCAGCAGAGCTAAATAAATGTTTATGGCTGTAATTTATATTCCTGTATTTCTCTGCTGACATGTAGCATACTGTACAAAGAGGATTATTTAAAAACACGAATAAATAATATACATAAATTGACTGCTAACTTTAAGAGGAGTACATAAAACTTAGGACCATTTCCATTTTCTAACATGGTGTTTTTCCTGGCTTTCTGAGTGCCGCTTGGGAATCAGCTTTGATTTTATGGGAGCAATTAAGCCAAACATTACATCACGTGCTATCAAAGCGTTATAATGTTGTTCTGGGCTGAGGCTTACCCAACAAGCCAAAAAGCCCCCAAATGATTCAGAGTGGCTGCAGAAATTGAGGCAGGTTTTGTCCATCACATATTCACTGATGACATTCATCTGCGGTCTGTGTCTATGTGTGGGTTCTGTGTCTATGTGTGGGTTCTGTGTCTATGTGTGGGTTCTGTGTCTATGTGTGGGTTCTATGTCTATGTGTGGGTTCTATGTCTTTGTGTGGGTTCTGTGTCTATGTGTGGGTTCTGTGTCTATGTGTGGGTTCTGTGTCTATGTGTGGGTTCTATGTCTACTGTATGTGTGGGTTCTATGTCTATGTGTGGGTTCTGTGTCTATGTGTGGGTTCTGTGTCTATGTGTGAGTTCTATGTCTATGTGTGGGTTCGTCACTGCCTGACTAGGGGGGTTGGGGGGGCTCTCCAAGTCAGTTGTCCCTCATTGGGACTGTGTAGCATAACAGCACCGTTCAATACAACATCAAGTGTGCGTGAGCATTTCAGACTAATAAACAGTGGAAACCACTCCAGTCTGCTTATTACATTCTCATTAAAATGGAGACAACACTCCGACTGAATTGTTGCTCGATCGATCAACGTGAAATGAACTCCCCTGTGCCTCTCAGTCCCCTTTCCCCTCAAGCCAATGTGCAGACTCTCTGGGGGTGTGCTGTCAGGACAGTAGGTGGCATGTCGGTTGAGGATCTGGTGCTGTAACCAAAGGATTGTATGTTTGGAAACATGGCAGTATTCTGCTCTTGTGCCTTTTAGAAAAAAGTCATTTTATAATCACGCTGCATAAAAGTGCTAGCGTATGTAAGTTGATTTGTGATTGTTTGAGCTGCAATAAATTATGCAGCTTCACAGAACAGACACTGCTGGTTTTGTAATATTCCCGTTCTGTTAGAAGTCCTCACATGTTGATCTTCTGTGCTGTTTTATGTTCCTCTGTCAGGTTCAACATTTCTATCACCTAGTCTGAGAATGATTGACGACTCTGACTACAATGTGTACACTAAGCTCACAGCATTGATGCGAAGCGGAGACAGGGATTGTGAGATTTCTCTTCCACAAAAGCAGATTCAGATCCTCTGCTGGGACCTTAAGCGCTCGCTCAAAAGTACTAAGAGATGATGTCGGCCATTTTGACTGACAAAACTCCATTAAAAAAAGGAAAATGATGAATGAATGTGGTGGCTGGTCGATCAAATTATGACATCACTTATGGATAGGGTTGTCAAAGTTAATGCGTTAGCGTTAATCTTAATGTCATAATGTGTTATTATTTCTTTCTTTGCGCTAATTTTAATTGCGCTAATTTTGGTACCCCAGTGGGGGAATAGTATGGGCAAAAATTGTTAATAGGGCTGTCAAAGAATTAGTTTTTTCGTTAAATCACAAAACAATTTTTTTATTAATCACTACCGTGTAAATGCGTTAGCTTTGACCAAAGGATTGTTATCCATGTATAAGGATAACATGGAGATGCCACGCAGAGTATGAATGATGGGATCAGCAGATACAGATTCATAAAGAGGGTGAGGTGCGGCCTTATCTGTGACGGTAAAGTAAATGCCGTGCCTCGCTTGGGGAGCACAATCCCTTGTACAAACAGTATTTAGGACGGTTGTTTGCAGGAAGGAGATTTACGATGTAGGGCGAGAGGCAACTGTGGGTTCCTTTCTGCATTTACTCAAGAACTGCCACAAAGTCTTTCTTCCCTCTGGAATAATTACCAGTGAAGGATTCCGCAGTAAAACTACGGCTCATGGTGCTCAGCTGGGCTGTTCGCTTAAAGATATGCTGCCCCCTGCTGTAAGGTGCTGACTGTGACAAAAAAGTATCTGAGCCCTTTAAGGTTGTCATGGACTTGTCATGGGTTTTAAAGGGACGTTGATGCACTTCGTATGACAATGACGCAAAGGAGAAATCTGATAGCTGTCCATGGCTCACTCACCTCGGGCCTCTCGCCTCTGGTCTCCAGATCACCAACCGCTACATCTATGACACGGTGCTGCTGCTGGCCAACACCTTCCACAAGAAGCTGGAAGACCGCAAGTGGCACAGCATGGCGAGCCTCTCCTGCATCCGCAAGAACTCCAAACCCTGGCAGGGGGGCCGCTCCATGCTGGACACCGTCAAGAAGGTGGGCGTCTCCCGCAGCCTCTTTGCGTGCGTGTGCGTGAATGCCTGTCAGAACGTGTCTAAATGCCCGAGGATTCTGGGCCAGCCAGGAGTAGAAGGACTTGAGCATTAAATCAATAATTTACGGTCAAGGGGACCATACTTCAGTAACGTTTCATTAAGTGTCCCTAGATAACCCATTAGATCTGCAGTTAGGAGGCCAATGAACCATCAGTGAACACAATCACAGCGCCATTATCTACTCAATGAGACCGCAATACGAAATGTGACAGAGGAGTCGGTCAAGAAGACCATTTTCTGCGCAGAGAGACTCAGCTCTATTCTGTAATGGAAATTAGGCAGGGGATGTGAGCCGTTTCTCTAGCTGTGGCGCGGAGGATAAGGCCGGGAGCTCATGCAACACTTGCCGTAGTTTGCAGACTTAACAGGTAATGCAGCGGCTAACTTGGTTTGCAAGGTCAGCAAGTTATGAGGTGGTTAACTCAGTTAGTGGCCTACTGTCTCTCTGAGTCCCCCCTGAACTCGCATTTAAGCTGGTTTAGGAAAAAGCTGGCATTACACAGAGTGGCAGCGCCAAAGCTGGGCAGGTCTCTCTGCGCCAAAGATACGAACTGAGCAGCTCAGCATCCAAAACCTGGCTTCTGGGTGAACTCTCTAAGTGGCCTAAAAGATCTGCTGAACAAATAACGAGTCCTCAGAAAAACAGGGCTCTTCGTCTGTCATGAGCACGACTTAGGAGAGCGAATGTCTGCAAGATCCTTTCATTTTTGCATTCGTTATTTGAGCTTGTAGGTTTCAGTCACTCTTCCAGTACTCAGCACTTTCTTGCTTTCTTGTCCTGATTGGTAGGTTAAAAAAAAAGCATCTTTAGGGCATCAGGTCATGAACTAAACTGAGGAAAGCAAACCTCTGCAAGATCTTTTCATATTTGCATTCCTTAAAATATTTATTTAATGTAGCGACTCTAATGTTTGAAATGTGAATTTTCTTCTGAGGATCCTGCAACAACCTTATTAGTTTTCCAGTTTCTCACTCGAGGGCAAAAATCATCAAAATCTGAGTGTCTTTGAATTTCACGGAAGTGGGTGAGATGCTGGGGATTTTATTAGGAGACCAGCTGCTAACGCCAGGCCCCTGTACCATGTCGGAGTGTGAAGGTTCTGCATGTTTGAATCATGACAGATGCTCGGTGGACTTGCTTGTTTCAGCTACTGCCTTTTTGTCTGAATTTTGACCCACGCAAAACCACGTCGGTTGTTAGGTACAGTTAGCAAAAGAGTCATCCTCTCAGTCTTGTTAAGGTCTTAGCTGTGAATCAGAATCAGCATCAGCTTAAAAAAAACCCAAACGGGACAAGTCCACCAATGAGTGATCCCCGTGGGTGCTGACACGCCCATTACCTGCAGACTGATTGGCTCTTCTACTTAGGCACAGAGTCCTGTTTCTGTAATGATGTGGCTGTGCTTATAAAAGACAGCCGTGCCGCTGCGCTGTCTGAGAGTCTATTTGCCGGGGCTTTGCGGGCCTTTTCCTTAATGCACTGATTTTCAGTCCCAGTCTCAAAGGGCCTCAAAGGGACTGCAGCAGTCTGTCTAATTCAGCCAGTCAACAAGCCTTGATTAGCTGAATCAGGTGTGTTAGCACAGGGCTACAAGCAGAATTGAAAAGCTCTGCTTTAATGAACTCTTTGTTTTGACCTTGCCTGGCGCCTCCTGAAACATTTGTTTCCCCAGCCGTGGATGTGGGACCCGGCCCCCATTAACTAGCACAATGGCCCCCTCAGCTCACAGTGACAAGACATCTGTTTGCAGGACTGATTGCTGTCCAGGCCTTAATTTGCTGCATGCGGGAGGATTGAGTCTCTCCATTGTCTGCTCCTGGGCTGCGGAGATGAATCAATGCACTCGCCACCAAACTGGAGCTCATTCAAATAAATGTGCAATAGTGGTGGCAGTCCTGCTGGAAGCCATGAGGGAGGGTGGAGGGCGAAGACGCAGAGTCTTCCTGAGGCCTCATGAGTCCTCACGCACACACGCACTAACCTTCCGCACACTCTCCAGTCCAACAGACCAGGCTGCCTCTCTTGGGGCAAATCCCTCAATGGTCAAATAGGCTACATTTCTGGGCAGAGAGTTGGGCATCATGGGGAACGATGATGTAAATCATGTGATGCTTCCACACATCTCCTATCTTGACCATCATCCCGCAGAGGGGTTGGCCAGGACGCTGATAGCAGAATGGCTTGTGTTCCCTTATGCTGGCTTTTCAGAGATGTCCTCAAACAGGTTTCTTGAGTAACTGATAAAGCTCATACCAGCTAACTTCATAGCGTGCTGCTTTCAGTGTGACTGCAGAAGGAATGCACCGTTATCCCTCCTCAGACCGTTTTCATTTAGCGTGTTTGGAGATGGAAGCCGCCTGTGATATCGGTAAATGAACAGGACTGATGCACCATAAGCAGGTTGTCGTGGCGACTCAGAGGACCAATCAGACACGGCCGGGGTGTCTTTGCCCAGACCTAGCCACATCAGGGCGGAAGTGTGGATGTCAGCTCCTGGCCGTGATCCTGATTGATGGCTCTTCACACAGGATGTTTTCCCCTGAAAGAGGCATAAACACGCACCCCGTCTGTCCTGTGGACTATAGATACGCTCCTCACACACAGTCTTGTCTGTTATGTCGATGATGTGATGATGATGTCCTGTGGGGTTCCCCGCTGGATGTGAAGCTGTCTGTCACGTCGATGATGTGATGATGATGTCACGTGGGGATTCCCCACTGGACGTGAAGCTGTCAATCTCTTCTGTGCCGTGCAGGCGGGGGTGAGCGGCCTGACCAGCCTGTTGGAGTTTAACGAGAACGGAACTAACCCCAACATCCACTTTGAGATCCTTGGCACCAACTATGGAGAGGACCGAGGACGGGGTGTTCACAGGGTAAGTGCCCCCCCTCCCCTCCCCTTCAAGCCACCAGGTATGCCGGCCCGCCTCTCTCTTATCGGTCTATACACCGAAACCCAATTGCTCTGCTCCCTCCTCTCGATGCGGACAGTAATTACATTAATTTAGGGACCGCAAAGATTTTAATTGATAATCATAGCGGTCTAATGGATTTTCTCAGCATCCCTCTGTGAGGCGTTCGGTGTATCCGTGCGAGTTGTTTATCTCTTTCTCTGTTGTTTGTTTATCCTCCTTCGGTCGAGTGCGGCAGCAGTTGCAAAGACAGATTCCCTGAGCCAACAGCGATAATTAATCTGTTTTTCCCGCTCATATCCCGTTAACGACCTTATCCGTGTAACCATGGCGTCGGCCTGCCTGGATCCTGCTTTTGCCGTCACTCCGCTCGTCTTGCCGAACATGGATCGATTAGCCGGGGCAGCGGTGACGTTTGTGTTTTTTTTTTTGTGTGCCGGCTGTGGTTATTTCAGGTTACGGTGGAACTTTCCGGAAGGCTGCCTACTTCGCCGCGTAGGAGAGTTTTAAAGTGGTGTTGGAAGAGTTCCCATACGTCTCCCTCACTGGGGACCTGGGGAGGCGAGACAGTGCCGCACCTACCTTCACATACCCACTCAGCGGGGGCACGACAGACGCACTCCCCTCCCTCGAGCATCTGGGGCTCCAGGTCCCTCAATTTTCAACAGGGATGGCATCACCTGCCCAAAAAACTCTACCTCATCTCTAAAGGGGTTGTCCGCAGATTGCAGATTAAATTGTCGCATTTCATTAGGGGTAACGGTCTCGGACAAACGCAAAATGCACCACACATCCAAGGATTAAATTAATTTCAAAGTGTAGAGTAATTACATTAACTCCGACCACTAATCGGCGAAGGTAATTACTTCTGAGGGGATAAATACTTATTAAACCGCTGGAAGCAGCTACTCCGATGCCCCCCAGTGTGGGAAAGGCCAAAGGCCTCTGCGATTGTTTTGAACAGAGTAGCCGCATTGCTCAGCCTGGATTAAAATGGACTAATTACATGCGATTCGAAAATTGATTCCATCTTTGATTGACGACTAAGAAAATTGTCCTGGGTCCGTTCCACTCAACCTGCGTGGTGTTTTTTTGTGGTATGAGGGGAGGAACACATCAAATCCCAAACCACACCGGCAATCACGCACGGTCAGATAGCGAGCACACAAATAAACGCCTTTACCACAGATAAACCGATCAGGGGTTGCTGCTCGCTTTGTGAGAGATTTACAAAGGAGTATTACCGCTGGCAGAATAAAGGAGTCATTTCGGTGAGGGAGGTGCACGTCCATGGCTATGAAGGGCGTCTCGGAACCGTTTCCATGCAAACGTCAGTCCGAGGCAGGGCCAGCCGGTTTTTAAGAAGTACAGCCAGTCGCAGTTCACGCAGAGGGAGCCCGTGGTGAGAGTGCACAGCGAACACCACTTATTACATGTGAAAATGCACTTTTATGGGTAAAGTCGTACAAGCATCCGGGCAGTGGTCTGCCGAGCGGCGGGGGGAAAAGTCACGCTCAGATGAGTCATCCTTCACGCTTGTTTTAACAAGCCGCTCCCAGTGTGGAACTTGCTGGAAAAAGCCTTCGGGCTAGAGAGTTTGTTACTCCTGATGACTCTGTTACGGTGTAGGGTGAATTTTCCTGGCATGTTTCTGGTACACTCAGCCCCCAAAGTGAAGGCCGACAGATAACATTCCGGGTGCTCTCACTCGTCCATCTCTCCCATTGGCGGGGTGACAATGTCACCCTCCGCAGGGTAGGAGTGGTCATTGGATGGTTTGATGAGCAGGAAGGCATTGTGAACTGTGTCAGCAAGCTGGCTGAACACCCGACGCTGAATGGTGCTCGAGACCTCGATCAGGGAAACACCAGATGGATGGGATGTCATGGAGTAATAGTGTCACACCACCCGAGGGACATGCAGACCCTGACAAACTCCATGCCAGAATGCTCTGATCCTTCTTTGGCAGCTTGTGGTGACCCAAAGCCCTATTAAAACACTCTAATGATGGTTATTGCATTTTAGTAATTAGCCGTACTCCTACCGGCTTAGCTAGACGAGGTACTGCTGGTACGGTAAATCTTCTGCCAGTTCCTGATTTTCTGTTCCTCCTTCCTGTTGAACCATTTAGTATCTATTCATATAACAGCCCTGAGTGTTCGATCATCCACTAGATCTTTCCAGACTGTTAAACTGCGAAGTGTCAGATGGAACTCAGAGTCAGATTCATTGTTCCGGAATGATTTATTCTTTCTTGTGTTCCTTTCTTTCTTTGCTAATTAGCTTCGTAAAAATAAGCTGATTAGGGTTGGGTGGGTTCGCACTGATTGATTTTCCTGATGTCGTTTAGCATCTCCCTCATCAAGCTGGGAGTGATTTTCTTGTCGCTCGGAAGGTTTGGCCAAGGCGGCGCCACCTGCTGACAGATAGAGGCGAGGGTCACCAATGGGTACTAGGTACGCCTGTGACTGCTGTCACGCCAACGATATCCCATTTACTGTACTTTAGCAACGGTGTTGTAGGAGTACCTAACTAAAAGTTGACCTTGTTGCTCAGTTTCGACTCAACTCACTCAGAACCCCCCCCCACCCTGCTTGTGTTCATGGCAGCTTAATCTGTTAGGGCATAGTTCTAATAACACCAAGGTCATGGGTTCAATTCCCATATGTGCTACTTGTGCCTTTATCTTCACCTTAATTTCCCCTCGAGGTTCTAATAAAGTTTATCTTTCTAGTAATAAAAAATAAATACAGAGAGTCACACCTCTCAGTCACAGGTCATCAGACAGACACCCATACGTACCCCCCCACGCACGGACGTATCTCGCGGTTGCAGATCACCGCACACACGCGCACGCACACACATACACAGATGTTCCCCATAGTAACCGAGGCTGTCACAAGCAGCTACACGCGTGCAAAAACACGTGTCAAGAGACACGTGAATGCCTGACAGCACCGTGAATCACATAAAACACAGGCAGATGGGCCACGCGTGTGTCACATATCCAGCAAACAGAACCTCGGCAGGGGGTTCTGACGGTGGAGCTGAGTTTTATTTTTGTGTTCCTCCTTAGAATCAGAGGGGTAATGGGGCAGGAACAGGAAGGAGAAAGAGACCCAGAGGAGACTCTGCATGTCTCTTGGTATTTAGAGGTACGGGGGGGCTTGATGAAAAACCAGCCACACCATTATATACATCTACCTGACAACAAGGAGCAGGTGCAACAGTTCAGCATTGATGATCATGGTGACCTGAGTCTCGAACCTTAAGCAAGTAGCTGCCCTACCCCATCCTTAAACAAAGATGTATGTGGATGGTTCAGGCATCCATACTTACTGCCACTGTTGCAGCCACCTGTGTGGGGGGAGCATCTCTATCAATAATACCGGACAGGCGTAATTCATCATGATCATTATCATCGCTGTGCAATTAATTTTCTAATCCATTAGTTTTCGCGGCTATGCGGTGCGTTCCGCGTTCCACGCTCCGCTCCCGCCACTGTAAGCCTCATCGCACCGGCCTGTCTGGTGTGTAATTGCTTGGTGAGCTGTTACATAACCCCTGTTAATGACCGCAGAGTTTCAGGCGAACGGCAGCCTGCAAGCAAAGGATTTTTGTCAGGTTTCGTTGGAGGGAATTCTTGACTGCGGTTTGGGATCCACGCCGCTGGAGATCACGTATGGAGGCTAGGGTTAGACTGGAGATAGAGATGGTCCTCAGTGTGCTCCTGGAGATCAGGTGTGGACCCCAGTGTGAAGCTGGGGTTAAGATTGACTTTCAGCATACAGCAGGAGTTAGAGATGTATCTCAGTATTCTGCTGGAAATCAGGTTTGGATGCCACTGCGAAGCTACGTTTAAGATTGGGTTTCAGCACAGATCAGGAGATAGAGATGCGTCTCAGTGTGCTCCTGGAGATCGGGTGCAGATCCCTGGTGGAACATGGAAACGTGAGGGAGCAGAAGGTTGAATCTCAGTTGGTGCCATGTTTCCTGCCCTGGTTCATCTGGAGATCATTTAGTCACCCGCTTGTGCTGCCTTGTCGTTAGTTATGTGAAGCATGAGCCACTTTATGAGAATAACTGGGGCGCAGAGACTTCAAAAGGACACCCGGGCCGACGTCCCACATCAGCGGCCCGGCGGCCAGACACATGCCGCGCATAATTCCAGAGGTAACCTTTGCATAAGTTAAAGTCAAATTATTAGTCAAAGCTGGGGACAAGGGGCTAAGTGGCGCACCCTGCAGACCCCTTTAGGCTGGCATTAATTGTCATTCGGAGGCGGCAATGTCATGGAGTGACACAGGGCTGGACGGAAATGTTTTCTCCTCCGTGTGAGGGATTCGGAGGCCGGAATGTGCAGGAGCCGCAAAGTCCCGCACCGGCAAAGCGGACCCCCTGCGGGCACGGATCCCCATTCCCCCCCCCGATTTTCCATCCCATTAGGTAGATTCAGATGTTCTTTCACAGAGAGTCTTCGTCCCTGGAGGAGTGGAGGGAGCACTGATCGATTTGTCCTGCTCCGGAGCCTCCTCTCCCAACCCGCTAAACGCCTGCCTCTCCCCACCGTCTGACCCACAGGCTGCCTGTGCCTCCACATCCCGACGGGTCACACCCCCTCGCTCCCCTGATGTCTCTGAGTGGCTGTCTCCTCTTCTGCTCTCCCTCCTCCCCCTCTTTCATTATTTAAGGTCAGGATGGTTACTGACTAGAGCAGCCAGAGCGGCCTTTTGGGGCCCTTGTTTACGTGGATTTATTTAGCAAATTCTTTTATCCTAAGTGATGTATGTTTGTATCTGCGATCAGAAGGTTGCTGGTTTGAATCTTATGCTTGGCAGATTAGCCACATCTCCATTGGGCTCTTGAGCAATGTCCTTAACCACCACCCCCCAACCCCCCCCCGCCCAAAAAATGCTCCAGAGGCTCCGATTAAATGGCTGACCCAAGCTTCTGTGTTACCTCTA